GGGGTAACCGGTGTTGAAGGGAAGTACGATGTGGCAAACACATTACAGTTCTGTTTGGTCTAGACTTATTGAGGATGCAGGTTGTTAGTGATCTAACTGTACTGCTTCCATAACATCGACAATGTGAACTTGGCCTAGTAAACTCATTCCCCGTGTTTGACCCAACTTTAGTTTATTGCTAACCAGATGGCCGATTGATCATAGCTTTTGCGACTAGACTTCCTATATTTGCAACAAATTATAAGAGCCCACTTTATAAAAAGCACATTGATGGTGGGGAGTAGTGGTTGTAAATTGAAATTGTGCCTAAACAGAATAAGTTGACATAAATGGGGGCAATTTAGTTAACTGTTATGAAAGAAGCCCTAATCAGAATACTGAAATTATTTTAGAATAGTGAATCACCTTTTAGTGAATGAACAACACCAGGTAGGTCTTAAAGGCAATACAGATTTTGTTCGTTACTTAACTCATTTAGAGAACCAAAGAGGATGCTGTCGCGTAGCAGGCTTTTTCAGGCCAGGGGACAACATCAAAGGCGAAGATCGCCGATCAGTAGAAAAGCCACCATGCCAAGATATGCTCGTAGACATAGCCTTTATCGAGTCAAAGCATTGTAACAACTCTGTGGGACACGGTATCGCTCTGTGCGTCATCGTATGCCTGCATGTCTGCTCGCCAGGATTGGGAGGTGCGCCGTACAACTCTGTGTGCAGTGACCGTACAAACAGTGACCAATCACCAACCTCTGTTTAACCTAATCCCCCATCCAGATCATGAGTAGCTCCATGCGTGTACGCTTTATCCGTAATATACTCACTGAATAAACGTGCTCCTTGCTACACGTCTATTTCCTTCATAGCTGGGCTATAGCTTAGCTGGTTCTGGGAGTCTAGCTAGATGTTGGAGAATCTGACTAGAGATTTCTGAGTCAGTCAGGCTTTATTAAGGTAGCGATCCGCTACAACTCTATCAAGATTGTCCCTCCCTGTCAGCCTTGGTGCAATTGAGTGCTTCCTGTTCCTTCTTTCTGTCTTTCACACACCATGTTAACCTTATGGATCCTCAAAATGGCTAATCAGATATCCCTTAGTGATAACTTATTTAAAACACCTTACCAATTTATACAAACAATGCGATAACACTGATAAAAAATACCAAAAGTTATACTGAGTTTAATAAAAGTTGTTAAAAATGCATTAAACAAATTTAATTGAGTAAATTTTCCCGGAAAAATTATGCACATTGACATAGTTTTCCAAAATGTCTAATCCTCCGGGCTCAAATATATATATAAAGAGAAACAATTTATTACAAGTTACTAACTGAATGCAAAAGTAATAATAAAATATCTTAAACATTAACTCATATGCAATTTCAAAGAGAATTTAATACAAGCATACGATGATATTAGCGGTATATTAATGCAATTAAAATTTTAATTTGTCAGATGATATCGATTGGAATTAACAAATAGTTTTAGAAGCATGACTGATTTTTCTGAAATTGAGGAATTTCCAACCGTTCCCAAGATTTTTCGTACTGAATATAAATTTTCTTTTAATTCTACTCGAAATCAAGAATGTGAAGTTAACTGTCCGCCAAATGGGGATTTTGTATTACCTCCCACGCCTTCTACGCTAATGGAGGATGATGAATTCTACCAGAAATTGAGCCCACTGCCATGGCCCGTTCATAATGAAGAAAAACACACTTATATCTATAATAGAGAAACATTGTCAAAACCAAGATCTCCTAGAAGTTCGGAATGGGACGACAGAATGAATGTTCACTTAGTGGAAGGTAACTGCTCTGGACAAATAATGAGTAATCAACTAGGCTCTGGCCGTCCGATCGATGATCCAAGGGAAGGTACAGAAGTGAACAAAACTCATTCTCTTTCAAAAGCAAATTTTCCCGGCAATCTAACTGTCAAGCCCCGTAATAAATATCTTGCAATACCCAAACAACTTCCAGGAAATAGAAAATCTGTCAATTTTCACTGCAATGAGGTTAATGAAAAGAAGTCCCAAGGTGTTCAAGCCGGAGATGCTCGTGAGAATATGAGTAAAAAGCCTTCCAATTTCCTAGACAATGTGGAGTTACTTGAGGATGGAGATAATACTGAAGGCTTGGAGGCGAATATTTTTGATAAACTGAGTGAGGACACTAACTCCCTATGTGAAAATGTTAGTAATCACTTGGTTTCAACTTATCCGAGAGCCCAAATGCAAACTGATTGTAAGGTAGATATTGCCGTATCCCCTATTGCTTTTTTGACTGGGAAGATGAACAAAAACCGTACTGATGAACATGGGGATGATTTATCTATTATCAATGCTACTGGTTACGCTTTCCACGACAAAAGTCCACCTGAAAAGACTTCTCCACAAACTGATTCAAGAAAAGTCGGATCTCATACGCAAGGCAGTACATTTGAGCTAGTAATCACAGAGCCGTCTCCTATTATCGAATGTAGTGTGCTGAAAATTGACAATCCTGTACCTCTGATTCAGAAGAATACTCTTCCAGAAGTTTATGGACAACCAGATTACGATTATAATAAATGGAAACGACCAATGACCTTAGAAGAGCAAAAATCTATTTTCTATGCCACAGTCATGGCAAGTGAATCCGAAGGTCTTAAAGAAGTCAATCAAAATAGGATGAATGTAGTTGTCGTAGATGATACGACTTCTACACACCACCTTTTACCCTCCCAAAATCCGTTGATGTATCGTGATTTTGATAATGTTGGATTCCAAACACAACAGTGGTTCAATAAGAGAACGCGGATCTCGAGCTCTTCCTTCGCTTCTGGACATGATGCAACTTTAGTTCGTCAGAATTCATGTCGTCAATTATTAGTTTCTTCAGTATCTTCTGAACACCGGCCTTTACAGAGCAGAAACTCAAGCTGCATATCTTGTTTGTCCTATTCTTCATCTGAATCGAATTTATCCCATTCCTGCCAGGCGTTAGATGAATCTCAATCAACTGAGGGGAAATCAGTTGTGCCTTTGAGAGAAATGAATCAGTTAGAGCACCAAATTCCTTCAATTAACTTGATTCAAGCCACTCCAGAGAAGAAAACACTAACGCCAGTTGGTTATTTATCAACCGATAGAGATTTGGTACATCTTAAACCAAAAATTCCTCAATATGTGCCTGAATTTGAGGGTAGACCTATTGAGACGAGGGAGCTAGGCTGTTCCCCTGAAGAAAATCGCAAACGGATAATACAAGAATGGCTTATTCATCGAATTTCTGCAAATGTTGTTGGACATTTCAGAAGTAAGGTCGTGCGTATGCTTCATGAAGGGGATTCAAATAACGTAGATATCAAGGGAGATTTGAATTGTAAAGATGGCAATCAAACTTATTTGCGACCGCCTATGAAAGACATTCCGGCAAAAGGCCAAATTACTTTGGGAAAAAGTCATGAGAAAAGTCAAGAACATAAAAGATCGTCAAGTGCCATAACGGATAATGCGCAATTAAGGAATGAAATTCAACCGATAGAATTAATTGAAAGCCTTGAATCCAATCATAATATCAATCTGAATAAGGTTTACTTAAATAATAAAGGAATGAGTGGACAGAAACAATTGACTAAGGGGAGGCATTCGGTTCCGAGTACGCAACTAAGGCCTCAGACAAGTGTTTCAACACTCAATTCAAAGAAAACAGACCTTCCAAATTTACATGATTTCGAAGAAGTACTTGAAATTGATCCGCGTGATGATATTGTCAAAAGTCACCTAAATATCCACGACAGGAGAATAAAATCCGTGAGTATGAAGACAGGTTGTTACCTCAATATGAAGGGTCCGATTAAAGTTCCATCCTTAGATGGAACTCTGAAGCGTGATAAAGAAGTCTATGAATTGACGATCGGTGCACCGAACAGGGTGAAAGCCGATCGATGTATAAACTTCTTACGGGAAACCTTCCCTCACACAGCTTTTTCGAGGAAACAGGTGCAAGTTCGTACTTTAAATAAATTTTAATAGAATAAGTACATTCTAGTAATAATCACACCAATTTCTTAGTAATATCAACGTGTCCTAATTTTAAGAAATTTTAGTCACATAATGTTACTTATATAATTACCGCAACATAAAGTTACCCCAGCAGATTATAAAATTAGCCAATAATGTAGTACTTTGCTTACTTTAAATTAAGTTACTCTGAAAATAGACCCTTGTAAATATTTTCACGAATTTTGGCGTTAAAAGAAACGCGTAATTACTATACTTAAGATATTATTAGCAAAGCTGTTGATATGATGGACATTAAATCTTTTAAACGATTTAATTGGGCTCAATAACGAATAGCTTGCATCGATACATAAATTTAAATTTTTTGGTATCGAAACGTAGATATTGTTTTGGAATTGGAATTTTTGCCCTCGTAAATTACTAGCTGGTGCTGGGGTTGAAAGTTGAGGCAAATTATGATTTGCACTTTGGCATCCTTAGAAAATAGGCCTCTCTTCATTTGCATTTTATTTTTATTATTTCAAATGGCAGGCTTTATGATATTTATCATAAGCACCTAAGTTGACTTCGGCTTTCACAAAGGGGAGGGGGGTGGGGAAACATATAGACCTGTTAATTAATAGCAGTTCATTAGTTGTCTTCTGGCTTCCCAGTATCTCTGGGTTTCCGTCGTTGTCTCTAGAACTGGACACCGAATTAGGTGAAACTTCTCCATTTCCTCCTGTAAGCCACATAGGGGGCATGTGGGTTGAGTGTATATTCCCAATCTGTGAAGGTGCTTTGCCAGGCAATCGTGTCCGGTACGTAGTCTAAACTCAGCAACGGCTTCGATTTTTGGCCAGTCGGTTATATCGGAAAGTTCCACTGTCCACTGTTTCTCCTTTGTTCGAGCTTTAAGTTCGTTGCACCTTGAGGTCTTGAATGCTCTCCTGATTAAGGTCTTCATTGTGTGGAAACACATCGTCCGGTTTATGCCTTGCAAAATTGATGTCCCCTTCTTAGCAAGTGAGTCAACAACCTCATTGCCTTTAAGGCCACCGTGGATAGGAATCCATTGTAGGATCACTGTTTTGTTTTTCTCTCTCAGCAGCTCATAGAGTTTTCTATATTCCTTTATCTCAGCTGTTTTGGGTGGCTCTCTGCTTCCAATTGAGTTTATTGCTGACTGTAAGTTCGAGAGAATCACTACTTTTGTGAATTTCGTATCCAGACAACATAATTGGCCTAGTGTTATCTTAATGACCGCTATTCCACCTTCGAAAGCGGATCTATTGTGTCCTGCTGCTGCGTAGAAATAGAAGAGTTCAGGGTAAACACCCGCACCAACATTTGCCTGGAAGCTTCTCATACAGGATCAAGGCCTTCTCTTTGATAAGGGAGCATATTGTGGTGTCCCCTGTAACCAACAGCATTGCAACAATGGGTCCCCCTGTAACCAACAGCATTGCAACAATGGGTGTTGATTTTATCCCTCCTGTAATGAGTGGCTCACAGCAATACAACATTATTGGCTGAATATTTCACAGCAATACAACATTATTGGCTGAATAAACATCTTGTAAGTGGTGTTTAGGGTTGATACTCATATGGTACCAGGGAGACGCTTCAGTACATGCAGTCTATTGGAGACTCGTTCTGCTATTTTATCAATGTGACTTTTCCACGTTTGCATTATTTCAAACGTCATTCCGAGATAAGTGAACTCGTTTGTTTGTTTTCTAGGGTGGTATCTTTGTACCTTAAAAGCGGGTTTATGCTGTGACGGGCCAACGAAAATGTTTGGAATGCAGTTTTCGCGGTGTAGATAACCATTCCATTGTTGTCGCAACAGTTTGCTAATAGTTGTAGTGCATAATTTAGGGCACTTTCTGTCCTCTCCTGAGCGTTTTTCTTAGGGGCAGAATACCATAGACAAGATCATCAGCATAAAGTAAGCACTTGATGTCCGTGACTGTCTGTACCAATTCGGCTATGTCATTGTTGAAAACATTGAAAAGAGTGCAGCTTGTAACAGCTCCCTGTGAAAGGCCTGTTTGCAAAGGAATGGATTTGGATAGAGAATTTCCATAGCTGACTTTACACGAGCTTTGTTCAATGAGTGCTTTTATCCAGTTTGCATGTTATGCTTTACACCAATCTTCACCAATTTATAATTAGTTCTCTTTCAATACTTAGTCATATGCTGATTTGAAATTGACGAATACAGTCGTAAGGGTATTTCGTGCATCAAGGGCATCTTTGATGTGTTGGAAGAAAGTGGCAACTTGTTGGTTAGTTCATCTTTGCGGCCTAAATCCTGCTTGTTCACTCCTAAAAATATTGTTGGTCTCAAGGAACCACGTCAGCCTCCTGTTAACCATTCTTTCCATAAGTTTAGCCAGCACGCTTGTGAGAGAGGTAGGTCTATAGTTGTCAAAGTTGCTAGGGTCTTTGCCCTTTTTTAGTACTGGTATTACTATGGCAACTTCCCATTGGTTAGGTATGAGACTGGTCTCCCAGATTTTGTTAAAAAGTATCAGCATGGTTTCCTTGGCTGTTGGTCCCATTCTAATTAGAAATACCGGATGAATA